GGCCAGAGCCAGGAGCTTCTTTTCGGCTGGGCTTTACAGCTTGGCTCCTTCAGAGGTGCCGTGGGAGGGTTTTGGGTAGGGATCGGAACAGGTGTGGCAAACCTCTGTAACATGGCAAGGACTGCACAATTGAACAGGAAATAACACTTTCAAACCAGGAACAGAACATTTTTCGATTTTGTTACACAATGTAAAGTGACCTGGTGGCACAGAGGGTTAAACCACTGAGCTGCTGAACTTGCTGATAAAAAGTATTGCAAGTTCGAATCCAGGGAGTGGGGTGAGCTCCAGCTGTTAGCCCCAGCTTCTGCCCACCTAGCAGTTCAAAAACATGCAAATATGAGTAGATCAATAGGTACCGCTCTGGTGGAAAGGTAATGGCCTCCCTTGCCCTCCAGATGCCCATGTGGCCAGTCATGCTGGCCACATCACTTTGGAGGTGTCTACGGACAACACCGGCTCTTCGGCTTAGAAATGAAGATGAGCACCAACCCCCAGAGTCGGACACGACTAGACTTAATGTCAGGGGAAAACCTTTACTTTAATGCATATATAAGCCCATGCATGGCCAAGTGTTGTTGTTATGATTTAAATTATTATATACAGGCAGGGCAAGCTTATTATTATTATTTATATTATTATATTGGTAGGGCAAACTTATTATTATTATTATTATTATTATTAAAATGATTATTTATGGGCAGGGCATGGGGAAGCTTATGAAGAAACACAATCTACTGAACTATGTTCAGCAAAGGACAAGAGGGATCCTCTCCCCTCTGCAGGAGTCTGCCGTATACCATGCAGCTGTGGACATGTCTACATAGGGGCCATTAAACGCAGCATTGCCCAAACACAAATTAAGGAGCACAAAAGGCACTGCAGACTAATTCAATCAGATAAGTCAGCCATAGCAGAGCACCTGATGAACCAACCTAGACACAGCATATTATTTGAGAACACAGAAATGCTAGACCACTCTAACAGCCACCATGTCAGAGGCAGGAATCAGCCAGGCTTTGAAGCTGCAAGGCCATTCAAGGCTAATCAAGGTGGCCAATTGCAACTTTCACACTTGTTTCCAACAGCCAAGAATTCTTTCTCCCACCCTGGACATCATTCCACAGATATATAAACCCCACTGGCCTAGTTTCCAACAGACCTCACAATCTCAGAGGTTGCCTGCCATAATGTGGGTGAAATGTCAGGAGAGAATGCTTCTGGAACATGGCCAGTCAGCCCAGAGAACTCACAGCAACTCAGTGATTCTGGCCATGAAAGCCTTCAACAATACATTATTATTTCAATTGCTATATGGGTAGGGCAAACTTCTTCTTCTTCTTCTTCTTCTTCTTCTTATTATTATTATTATTATTAACAACTGGAACAAACCTATTATTATTATTATTATTTAAATTATATATGGGCAGGGCAAACCTATTATTATTTCTATTATTATTTCTATTTTAAACAAGTGGAACAAACTTGTCCCTCTGAGGAGGCTGAGATAGGACGGGATATAAAAGCCCTAAATAAATAAATAAAATTATTATATATGGGTAGGACGAACTTATTATTATATACATTATATACATTATTATTATCATCCTGGGGAGAGTATGGTGTCAAAAGAAGATGTGGGTTAGGATGTTGGTGGTATCTTTCTCAGCTGTTATTGTGGTCTGATTGAAAGAACAATGGAGTCCCAGGATCACAGAGCCATCAGGGACCTCCAAGGAGCATCTAGTCCAGCCCCCTTCTGCCAGGACCAGCACATTGTGATTCTGGGAAGCCAGTCCTGCAAGAGGAACTTCCTCCTGAGTGAGAGCCTCTGAAATAGAGATGGATCCAGTTGCAGAGAAGGCTGGAGAGGGGAGATTTGGGAGTCATATGGGGGGGGGGATATGTGTCCCATTCCATCCCCCATGTCTCCTCCTTCTCTGGAGGCCTCTTATGCAGCCCACAAGAAGGCCACTTGTCCTCCTCCCACAAAGAGCAGCCTGTGCCTGTTGCCAAGGTCTCTAGGGCATCCTTGACGGGGTGCAGGGCAAAGTGTACCTGTCTGGAGGTCACATGTCGAAATCAGCTGCACCTGGAGTGGAGTCCGAGACCAGGGACCAGTGGCGAGGGGGCTGGGAGAGAGGGGGTTGTTGGGATTCAACCCCACACCGCTCAGGTCTGTAATCCTTGATGAGAAGCACACACATAGAATTAAGTAAAGCTGAGGGAACCCCTTATTTCTCACTCATTCCCACTGATTCCTGAATACCTGGAGTTAAGAAAGAAGGCTTAAAGCCAATTCTTTTTTATCAAGGAATGTTGTTCATATGTTTTGAAATTTTTTTTAGGATTGAGCTCTGCATCTCTCTTCCTTAAGCTCAAGAATTCTTGACAGCCACACTCTATGGCTTTCGCTTGCTGTGAGCCGAATGCTCAACACCAGCATTTCTCAACCTGGGGGCCGGGACCCTTGGGAGGGTCATGAAAGGTGGCCAGAAGGATCACCAAAGTCCATCAGAAAACACAGTATTTTCTGTTGATCATGAGGGGGTTCTGTGTGGGAAGTTTGGCCCAATTCTATCATTGGTGGGGTTCAGAATGCTCTTTGATTGTAGGTGAACTATAAATCCCAGCAACTACAACTCCCAAACATCAAAGTCTATTTTTCCCAAACTACACCAGTGTTCACATGTGGTCATAATGAGTATCCGTGCCAAGTTTGGTCCAGACCCATCATTGTTTGAGTCCACAGTGCTCTCTGGATATAAGTGAACTACAACTCCAAGAGTCAAGGTGTATGCCCATCAAACCCCTCCAGTATTTTCTGTTGGTCATGGTAGTCCTGTGTGCCAAGTCTGGTTCAATTCCAATGTTGATGGAGTTCAGAATGCTCTTTGATTGTAGGTGAACTATAAATCCCAGCAACTACAACTCCCAAAATCAATCCTCCCCCCAACCCCACTGGTATTCAAATTTGGGCGTTTTGGGTATTTGTGCCCAATTTGGTCTAGTGAATGAAAAAAACCTGCATATCAGATATTTACATTACAATTCACAATAATAGCAAAATTACAGTTATGAAGTAGCAACGAAAATAATGTTATGGTTGGGGGTCACCACAACATGAGAAACTGTATTAAGGGGTTGTGGTATTAGAAAGCTTGAGAAATACTGCTCTACACTAAGGATTCTTTTTGTACTTTTAAATACTTTGCTGTTTTGAGAAAATTTCCTTAATAGGGGACCTATAGCAAGAGGTCAGGAAGAAGCCACAACAACAACAAAGGAAGCCATGACCCAAGCACAGGATATTTTTGCCATTTAATAAACCTTTCCCATATTTTTTATGGCAGAACCAATTAGGAAATGGCATTATAACCCAGGAACAAAAATGTGTTACATAGTGTTATTAATACCTACTAGTAGTATCATCATGATCATCATCATCATCATCAAAATGTCTCCTCTCCTGTGTTGGGCCAAATGCAGTCCTAGGCTGGCAGGGTCAAGCCCAGGCGTCATTGTGTTGTCATTTAGCTAGAACCACAGATAAGAGTATCCATGCCTGGTGAGTGTATGCTAAACTGAAAAGACCAGGACAGAAAAACAACTCACAAGGTTGAACACAAGCCACAGAGGTTTAATACAATTCAGCTAAAAGGGATGCAAGGACAAGCAAGATGCTTCAAATGTACAAGCATAACATACAAAGGAAAGCAAGACATCTTATACAGTTTGATAGCTATTCAAATCTCCCGCTCTTGCCTCTGATTGGTTGAAAGAGAGACTGGTCAGGATCCGTGGCCTGATTGGCTGGAAGCTCTGCTGATGTCATTGCCTCCAGGCAGGGATTCCCTTCACCAGGAAAATGATGGTGTTTGGGTGAGGGACCGATCAGTTGTTGCGACACCCCCCCCCCCCCCAGGAAGGAGGCACAATCTGGCAAGTCAATGTTAAAGAAATATTAATGAACTTTTGATTAGCTCAACTGTCCAGTTCCATGTTGAACAAAGATAGGAGCTTCAGGAAACAAAGGTATGAGACCCCCCAGGACAAAGGTGATGATCTTAGGCAAGCAAGGGCTTGGCTGTCAACAAAGAAGTTAACAAATGCACATATTCTCAGTCTCTGTTTCCACAGACAGCAATCTCTCAGCCTTATGTGAACCATATAACTTACACCAGAGGTCCTCAAACTAAGGCCCGAGGGACGGATACGGCCCTCCAAGGTCATTTACCCGGCCCTCACTCAAGGTCAACCTAAGTCTGAAACTACTTGAAAACACACAACAACAACAACAACAACAACAACAATCCTATCTCATCATCCAAAAGCAGGCCCACGGTTTCCATTGAAATACTAATAAGTTTATATTTGTTAAAATTTTAATTTTAATTATTGTATTGTTTTTAAATGTTTTTGACACTCCAGATACGATATTTGCAGTGTGCATAGCAATTCATTCATGTTTTTTTCACATTATAATCTGGCCCTCCAACAGTTTGAGGGACTGTGACCTGGCCCTCTGTTTAAAAAGTTTGAAGATCCCTGACTTACACAATGGATCATGGGCTTATCAAAATTTGCACAGGAAGTCACCTAACTTTGTATACACATAAACAATGGGTCCAGTGATTCCTGGCTTGGGAAATAGCCAGAAGGGATTGTCTAGCCTTCTGGTTCCTAGGAGATAATTTTGGCAGGGTCACAGAGGGCCGATTGTCTCTGAGCTACAACTTTGATACATTTAATGAGCAGTTTATACATTTTAAATAAGAAAATGGATACAGTATATAGTTGAAATATACAAGTTACAATTGTATACATTGATACAATTTATTGAAGGGTTAGAAATAATAGAGTCTTGGGGGTGGGGGGGGGGTCCACTCCAGATCTCCCGACACATCAAATTCAAGTCCAGAAAAAATGTTTTAATAAAGGAAAAAAAATCATATATTTATTTCTGATCCTTTGATGAACTATACATCTTTGGGGGAGGGTTACCGTGGCTCGATAACACCAGAAGCATTTGCCTCTGGAGCAGTGTCCATACCTGGAAGCAGAGTTGGCCCATGCCTGAGACGAAGGGAGGAGGCCGAGGAGCCAATGGTCAGAGAAGGGGGCCGCGCCCTGCGGCAGGAGAATCCCCCGGCAAAGAGGCCATAAATGATGGGGTCCAGGCAGGCATTGAAGAAGCCGAAGACAAAGAGGAGGTGGGCCAGCGAGGGGGAGATGGCCTCCTCCATGGCCACCGGCCAGAACCAGTACCAGAGACCCAGCAGGTAGTAGGGCGTCCAGCAGAGCAGAAAGGAGCCCACGATGGCCACAGTCAGGCCCAGCATGCGTAACCGTGCCCGGGGGAGGGGGTCGCGTGACCGGCGGAGGGAAGAGGCTGGAAGAAGAAGGACAAAGGGGGCCAGAGATCAGTAAAACATGGGCCTATGCATTGCCCTCCCCCCAGAGACCCACACAAGGCTCCTTCCACCACTGATGAGACACAAGTGAGAGCAGGCTCTCACTGCCTTGAAAGGAACTCTCCCATTTCGAACTCCCCAGTTTAACATTTGGGTCACATCCCAAGTTCTGAAAAAAATCAGTTCAGCAGGTTTGTTCTTAAGCTGAATTTGCATGTAAGGCAAAACAGGACCACTTTTAAGCATTAACTCCGGCTATGTAAGTATGTATGTGTATGTATGTCTTGATATTCTGGATTATATGGCTGTGCGGAAGGGCCCATAGTGTAATTAGATTTGGGAAATTTGGCTTGCTGTGGAAAGCATTGGTGATAAAGCTTAATTGGAGACCCCTTTCCCCCATGATAATAACTCTTCCAGGAGTTAATTTCCCTTCTGAGGAGTAGATTTCTCTCACTTCCTGTTGTCTCACCTCCGTTCTTAACTAGGAGTCATTTGCAAGTCAGATGTTTGTAACTCTGACTTACTGTAACTTGGTTCCTCAGCTTGGAAATGGAAAAAGAGCACCAGAGTTGAGTACTGTCCTCCAGAAGCCAGAGATGAAAGGTGAAGCCTTTACCTTTGTTCTGTGTATTTGTGTGTCATTGTTATAAAAGGCATTGAATGTTTGCCTGTCTGTGTATGTTGTAACCCACTCTACCTCCCCTCAAGGACATTGAGCAGAATATAAATTATTATTATTATTATTATTATTATTATTATTATTATTATTAACTCGGGGACAGCCTGTACTGCAAAAGTGGGGATGTTTGAGCCAGTCCAGGTCTCTCCCTGTTCCTATGAACAGAGGGGTTGCCGGACTGAATTGGTCAGAAGGTCAAGAGGGTGGCCCACGGCCTCTGCCTCCCCCTCCCACCCTATTATTATTATTATTATTATTATTATTATTATTATTATTATTAATGTCCCGCTTTTGCTCTCCACAAGAAGACCCCACAAGACCCCTCTTTCCTGCCCACCTCCCTCCTTCTCCACAAAGGGACTCACGGCCTCCAGCACAGGAGATCTGCCTCAGGATGCGGGAGCAGGAGGCCACCATGACCAGGAGTGGTAGCAGGAAGAGGCAGAGGAAGCTGAAAAGGTTGTAGGCCACCTCATGCCAGTGCCGGGCAAAGGAACCCTGCGTGGAGCACTGCGTGAAGTTCTGTGCCAAAGGGATGGTGACCGTGTGGAAGAGGAAGAGCTGTGGAGCCATCAAAGGGAGGATTGTTGGGATTCAACCTCACAGCACTCAACTCTGGAGTCCTCAGTAAGGTGACAGATCCCCCATGAACTTCTTGCAAACAAACTAGTCAAATGTGGACTGGACAATATGACTGTTAGATGGATATGTCCTACTATGGGCCTGTTGCTGCATCTGTTTACTCAACCCTTGTTTGGCCCATTGCCCCTCTCTGGCAAAGACCTGCCTTATAGTAGTAATAATAATAATAATAATAATAATAATAATAATAATAATTTATTTATATACCACTCTATTTCTTCGGGGGGACTCAGAGTGGTTTCCAAGTAACATCATCAATACATACAAACAACATAATCATAAGATTAACAACACAATATAAGCATAAAGATTGTTGCCATAACACATATATATATTAAAAGTAATCCTGTCTGTTCAAGGCAATTTAAAAGGCTGGGCCGAGATTAGTGTAAGCTCAAAAATTCTAGGGGGGGGGGCGGGGAATTAAGTGCAGTGCTATAGCAGGGTCTATGGCTGTTCATTTCCGGTGCCTATTAAAGGAAGTGACCTGGGAAATTGGTAGGAAGAATAAGGCCATATTCAACAATGTCTAGGGCTGAGCTAGAACTAGTCATTCTCAAATGCTTGTTGAAACCACCAGGTCTTCAAGCTCTTACGAAAGGAGGGGAGGGATGGGGCCTGTCTAATTTCCCTGGGGAGAGTGTTCCAGAGGTAGGGGCCACCACTGAGAAGGCCCTCTCTCTCATCCCCACCAACCTTACTTGTGACGGTGGTGGGAGCGAAAGGAGGGCCTCCCCAGAAGATTTTGGAGTTCGCACCGGTTCATAGAAGGAGGTGCAATCGCAGAGATAGGTGAGGCCCGAACCGTTTAGGGCCTTACAGGTCATGACCTGCATCTTGAATTTGGCTCGGCAACTTATCGCCAGCCAATTAAGTTGTTTTAGTAGGGACGTTCTATGCTCCCTATGGTTTGCTCCAGTAAGGAGCTTGGCTGCTGCTCATTGTACCAGTTGAAACTTCCGGGACATCTTCAAGGGCAGCCCCACATAGAGCACATTGCAATAGTCCAGTCTGATGTAACCACCCTGGCAAAGTCAGACTTCATGAGGTAAACTCACAGCTGGCGCACAAGTTTGAGTTGTGCAAAGGCCCTCCTGGCCACCGCCGACACCTGAGCATCAAGCGACAGCATTGAGTCCAGGAAGACCCCCAAGCTACAGACCTACTTACTTCAGGGGCGGTGTAACCCCGTCATGCACAGGTTGCCACCCAATACCCTGGTCGGTCCCGCCTTCCTATGTACCTACCTACCTGTGGAATGGAGAGCCCTGCGCTCAGCATCCAGGCGGCCTGCAGCAAGACCCGGTTCCTGCACCATCCTTTGGAGACATCCAGTGGGTGCAGGATGGCTGCTTGCCGGTCCAGGCTAATGAGGGCAGTCAGGAAGGCCGAGGCATACATTGCCAACAGCTTGAGGAACATGAGTAGGCGGCAGGCCCCATCCCCGGCCCGCCACTCCAGGGTCACATTCCAGGCCGCATCCAGCGGCATCACCACCAATGCCACCAGCAGGTCGGCCACCGCCAGGTGAAGCAGCAGCACCCGGGGGTGAGAGCGGCGGGACCGGCCCCCCACCAAGCCGGCCCACAGCACTGTCACATTGCAGGCTGTGGCCACCACACACAGGGCCAAAGTCAGTGCCACGCGGATTCCAGCTGCAAGGGAGAAGGTGGGCAGCACCAGCCCCTGGCTGAGGCTGCTGTTGCCATTGAAGGGGAAGAGGGCACTCAGGGGAGGAGGCAATGCCCCACCTGCCGCCAGGCTGGCGTTCACTGGCTGAGCCACCATGATGGATTTCTGTAGAGGGAAGGACAGGACAGGACAGGGAAGGGGTATTAGGAGGGGAGCAGAACAACAAACTGTTAGGAGAAATCCCCCCAAAACAGCAGAGTACAGTGATACCTTGACTTGAGAGTGTAATTAGTTCAGTGACTGAGCTCTTAACTCAAAACACTCTTATCTCAAACAGAATTTTCCCATTGAAATGCTATTAATCCATTCCGGCCCTTTGAAACCCCCTCCCCCCATTTTTATTACGTGTTTTTAAATAATAAAATATACCTTATAAATAACCAATAATGTATCAATGCACATTCACATGGAATAATAACAAAAGGAAGGTCAATTTTAAAATGGTAGAAGCACAAAGCTGTGGCAAGGAAGCACAAAGTAAAAAAAGCAAAACCCGCCTTTTCTTCTTCATCCTGTCCTCATTCCAGCCTTCCTCCTTCTCTCCCTTGCTCGCTTTCCTTCTCTCTCTTCATGAAGCCAAACATACACTACCCAAAGTTCCTCAAAGCAGACAAGAGCCAAGTGGAAAGCAATCTCCCAAAGTGGATGAGAGTACAAGGCACAAGGCCCAGAGGCTGATCCCTTGAAGCCCTAGAGCCCTGGAGTCTCCCTCTGGCACTTACTCTTAACTCAAAATGCTGCTCTTATTTCAAAGCAACATCTCGGTGGAGTGACAACTCTTAACTCAAAATACATACTAATCTAGCTTGATAATTGCACCCATTACACTTATTTGATGCACATAGACTCTTTCTCCCACCTTGTACACTCCACAGTTATATTATACTCTACTTACTTGACTACCACAAGATCCTCTGAAGATGCAGCATCAAGATGCAGGTGAAACATCAGGAGAAAATGCTGCTAGAACACATTGGCCATACAGCCTGGAAACCACGCAACACTCCACTTGTCCTAAAAAGTGAAGAATCACATTGGTCACAGGAGAGTTTGCTCCCTTGATCTGTCCCCAGGCTAAAGTAATCTAGCAGAGCCCAGATGGACACTTTTGATAGCAATCAAACAAACGTTTGGCAATGATGCTAAGAGGAGTCCACTCTTTTTTGTGACCAAATACCTGACTTTTGCACCTGTCCACCCCATGGATCCTTTCCCTCCATGTGTGCAAGGCCTACCTCTGTCTGAGATCAATGTGGGATCAATCCATAGGAGACAGCCCTTGTCTGAGCTCACCTGGGATCCAGTTGCGTGTGTCACACCTACTGCTCACATCTCCTCAGCCCTCAATACAGTGTAAACATTCATTGTGTGCCGGCAGAGAGGAGCAACGTGTGCGCACCAAGGCCATGAATCACCAGGAGATCTCCCTCCTCTTTCGGACCGCCTCCTTTCTTTTGATATGAAACTGAGCCAAGTAGTTGTCCTTGCTGTGTGCCTTCAAGTCATTTCTCACCTAAGGCCAACCCATGGTGGGTTAAATGTATCGCCAAAGGCTTTCACAGCTGGTATCAGTGGGTTGTTGTGTGGTTTCCAGGTTCTATGGCCAATGTGTATATAAATAAAGGAATTATTATTATTATTATTATTATTTTTATTATTATTATTATTATTATTTGAAACATAATAAGATGAGTCCACAGAAAACCAGAGCACTCTGCTGGCTTTTGTATTGGATCACACATCGGACACATCCCAAGTGATGTATCAGTGAACAATGCGTGCAAATCCCAGTAGGGTGGCCTTTTGCAGCTGGCAGATGGTAATTTTGTCACCACTGATTAAGTGTAGGCCAAGGACTTTAGGCACTGCACCCAGTGTGCTGATCACCACTGGGACCACCTTTACTGGCTTATGCCAGAGTCTTTGCAGTTCGATTTTTAAATCCTCATATCGTATCAGCTTTTCCAGTTGTTTCTCTGCAATCCTGCTGTCACCTGAGATTGCGACATCAACGATCCATGCTTTGTTTTTTAACACTATTGTAAGGCCAGAAGTATTGTGCTCCAAAACTCTGACTGTCTGAATTCGGAAGTCTCAGAGTAGTTTGACGTGCTCATTCTCTGTAACTTTTTCAGGCTTGTGATCCCACCAGTTCTTTGTCACAGGCAGATGGTATTTGTGGCACAAGTTTCAATGAATCATCTGAGTAACGATGTTATGCCCCTGCTTGTAGTCTGTCTGCATGATCTTCTTGCAGCATCCGAGGATGTGCTCTATTGTTTCAGCTGCTTCCTTGCAGAGTCTGCACTTGGGATCTGTCGTTGACTTTTCTATTCTGGCTTTGATGGCATTGGTTCTAATGGCTTGTTGTTGTTGTTGTTCTTCTTCTTCTTATTATTATTATTCTTATTATTATTATTGGCTATACAATCTTCTCAGTTACTCACATGCTAATGGATGGATCTCACTCAACACTTGCAAATCTAGCTTGCTCATTTCATCCTTGGTACTTATTGAGCAGACAATGGTTCTTTCTTCCACCCTGGACATTCTGCAAATATATATACTCCACTTGCTTGACTTCCACCAGATCCTCTGAAGATGCCAGCCACAGATGTAGGCGAAATGTTAGGAAGAGCACATGTTAATAGAACACAATGTCCATACAACCATACAACACCTCAGTTGTCCTTCCAACCCGTGGCAACCCTCTGGCTACCCTATGGTGTATTTTTCTTGGCTAGATGTGTTCAGAGTGCCTTTGCCCTGGCCTTCGCCCGAGGCTGAGAGAGTGGGACCGGTCCAAGGTCACTAGATGGGTTTCCAGAACTGAGCGGAGATTAAAATCATTGCAATTAAAAGCATTGCAATGATGCTGCCACGAATACACCAATATAGTACTTGGTGCAAAACAACATTCAGGTTTGTTTTGGGGATTTTTTCCTACTCAAACATTTTTAACCCATTACTGGTTAAATCAGTGGTTCTCAACCTTCCTAATGCCATGACCCCTTAATACAGTTCCTCATGTTGTGGTGACCCCCAACCATAACATTATTTTCATTGTAACTTCATAACTGTAATTTTGCTACTGTTATGAATCGTAATGTAACTATCTGGTATGCAGGATGTATTTTAATTCATGGGACCAAATTTGGCACAAATACCCAATATGCCCAAATTTGAATACTGGTGGGGTTGGGGGAGAGGGATTGGTTTTGTCATTTGAGAGTTGTAGTTACTGGGATTTATAGTTCATCTACAATCAAAGACCATTCTGAACTCCACCAATAATGGAACTGAACCAATCTTGGCACACAGAAATCCCATGACCAACAGAAAATACTGGAGGGGTTTGGTGGACATTGACCTTGAGTTTTGGAGTTGTAGTTCACCTACATCCAGAGAGCACTGTGGACTCAAACAATGATGGATCTGAACCAAACTAGGAACGAATGCTCAATATGCCCAAATGTGAACACTGGTGGAGTCTGGGGAAAATAGACCTTGATATTTGGAAGTTATAGTTGCTGGGATTTATAGTTCACCTACAATCAAAGAACATTCTGAACCTCACCAACGAAAGAATTGGGCCAAACTTCCCATACAGAACTCCCAGGACCAACAGGAAATACTGTGTTTTCTGATGGTCTTTGGCGACCCCTCTGACACCCCCTCCTAACCCCCCCAGGGGTCCCGACCCCCAGGTTGAGAAACGCTGATGTAGAACCAGTGGAAACGGAGGTCCAGCTGTAATGCATTCAGAAGTAGTGCAACCATATCACACAAGAGCTTCTAAATAAAGTTTCCTCCTTCCCCCGGCACATATTTGCGCCCTCCATTGAATCTAAGTGGGTTTCCAGCTGTAATGCTCTAATCACTTTGAGGTGCTTGGCTAAAGGAGCCCCCCCCCCCCCCCATGTTTGCCTGATGGATTTAAATCAAACCAGAAAGAGACTGGTATGGTTTCTACTGAATCAGAGCACATGCCTTGGTTCAAGGATGAAACACGAATGAATGCTGCCCTCTGGTGCCAGCCTCACTCAAGTGAATGCTCTCCTTGGCTTTCACTGACATAGTGTTGGACGTTAAGTTTGTTGAGGCTCGGTGCTGCCCCAGACCCTTATAAGAGTGGTTCTCAACCTATGTGTCCCTACATGTTTTGACCTTCCACTCCCAGAAAAAGAAGAAGCCTTTAAAACTATTGCCATCAAAGCTAGAATTGAAAAGTTGACAACAGATTCCAAGTGTAGACACTACAAGGAAGCAGACGAAACGATGGATCACATACTCAGCTGCTGCAAGATTGCGCAGACAGACTATAAGCAGAGGCATAATACTGTTGCTCTGATGATCCATTAGAACTTAAGCCATAAATATCTGCCTGCAACCACAACAAAAAAAAAACTGATGGGATCACAAGCCTGAAAAAGTTACAGAAAATGAAAACATCAAACTACTCTGGGACTTCCAAATTCAGACAGACAGTTTTGAGAACAATACTCTTGACCCCACGATTGTGGAAAAAAGCAAAGTATGGATCGTCGATGTTGCAATCCCAGGTGACAGCAGAATTTATGAGGAGCAACTGGAAAAGCTGACACAATATGAGGATTTAAAGATCGAACTGCAAAGACTCTGGCACAAGCCAGTCAAGGTGGTCCCAGTGGTGATTGGCACACTGGGTGCAGTGCCTAAAGACCTTGGCCTGAACGTAAAAACAATCAGAGCTGACAAAATTACCATCTGTCAGCTGCAAAAGACCACGCTACTCAGATCTGCAGGCATCATTCACCAATACATCACACAGTCCTAGACATGTGATCTAATACAAAAGCCAGCAGAGTGACTTTGTTTATTGTGTACTAATATTGTTGTGTATCAAATAATAATAAGAGTAACAACACTTTATTTGTATTCCACCCTATCGCCCCAAGGGAACTCAAGGCAGATTTCGGAATATACAGATAAAGGCAAACATTGCCTTGAAACAATGACACACAGATAAGGTAAAGGCTTCCACTTCATCTCTAGCTCTGGAGGATGGTGCTCATCTCCATTTCTAAGCCGAAGAGCTGGTGTTGTCCATAGACACCTCCAAAGTCATGTGGCTGGCATGACTACATGGAGCACTGTTTACCTTCCTACTGACCTACTCGCATTTGCATGTTTTTGAACTGCTAGGTTGGCAGGAGCTGGGGTTAACAGCGAGAGCTCAACCCGTCCCGTCGATTCGAACTATCAACCTTCTGGTCAGCAAGTTCAGCAGCTCAGCTGTTTAACCATTGCACCACCGCAGCCCCACTCAAAAAAATTAAGTAGCTTGAAGAGAGACACCATTAGGAAAAGAGCCACCATTCATTATATTTTACGCTTTTATTTTATATATTACTTCCAACCATTTCCAAACCACTCTATGTATACACACACACACATACACAAATGCACAGGGGTGTGCATATCCAAACCCACACATATAGAAGCTGTGGTTTTGTACTTTGATTTTAATTGAATTTTTTAATACCGTGATATTTAATTCTGTTTTAATGTTTATGTATTGGTAGATTTTAAATAGTACTGAAAAGCTAAGCCACTTTGAGTCTCCTTGTGGGGAGAAAAAGCGGGGTATAAATAAACATAAACAAACATAATAATAATAATAATACTAACAATAACCTCACAACCTCTGAGGATGCCTGCCATAGATGCAGGCGAAACGTCAGGAGAGAATGCTTCTGGAACATGGCCATACAGCCTGGAAAACACAACAATCCAGTGATTCTGGCCATGAAAGCCTTCGATAACACAATAATAATAATAATAATACTGTGTCCTTGGTCAATTCAGGCCTACAAAAGACATGTATAAATAAACACAATAATAATAATAATAATAATAATAATAATAATAATAATAATAATAATAATTGGTCCTTGGTCAATCCAGGTTTACAAAAGGTAAACCAATACAAACAACATCGCTGAAATGATGACAGATTTTAGAAAAGCAGACTTGTTGAGATTGAATGCATTGACATGAAAAAAATGTTCGTTCAAAGAGCCCAGAATGACTTGGCTCTGGAGAGTCAAAGGGGTGCAATCTGCCTCCCGCAGCTGCATCTTTTGGAAAGGAAGACCCCAGAAGGACCCCTTTGGGGCCAGCCATGGAGGGGGTCTTCTCCTCCAGATGTCGTCAGGCCAAAGGGTAGTGGTCATTGCCGGCTGGCCAGGGCTCCAGCTCCTCCAGGAAGGCCAGCAGCTCCGGGGGAAGCAGGCTCTGAGGAGGAAAGGAAGAGAAGCAAAGGGTCAGTCAAGGCCACATTGAGGAGGGCTCTAAGGGGCTGAAGGGGTCAGACTGGATGTCCTTTGGGGGTCCTTTCTATGGTGAAATACAGACTGCCTTTGATTGGATGGCTATCCATCAGGAGGACTCAGAGTGGCATAAAGGGGTCTGACTGGATGCCCTTTGGAGGTCCCTTATAACTCTAGTGAAAGACAGTCCACCTTTGGTTGGATAGCCATCTGTCAGGAGGGCTCTAAGGGGCTGAAGGGGTCAGACTGGATGTCCTTTGGGGGTCCTTTTGATAATGAAATATATACTTCTTTTGGTTGGATGGCCATCTGTCAGGAGGGCTCTGCTGGGCAGAAGGGGGTCAGATTGGATGACCTTTGGGGATCCCTTCTATAGTGAAATACATCCTTTGGTTGACTGGCCAACTGTCAGGAAGGCTCTCCTGGGCAGAAGGGGATCTGACTAGATGGCCTCTGGGGACCCCTTTAGTGAAATTCAGACCACCTTTGGTTGGATGGCCATCTGTCAGGAGGGTTCGGCTGGGCGGAAGGGGGTCAGACTGGATGGCCTTTGGGGATCCCTTCTATAATGAAATACTTCCTTTGGTTGGCTGGCCATCTGTCAGGAGGGCTCTGCTGGGCGGAAGGGGGTCAGATTGGATGGCCTTTGGGGATCCCTTCTATAGTGAAATACATCCTTTGGTTGACTGGCCATCTGTCAGGAAGGCTCTCCTGGGCAGAAGGAGGTATGACTAGATGGCCTCTGGGGGTCCCTTTAGTGAAATTCAGACTGCCTTTGGTTGGATCGCAATCTGTCAGGAGGGCTCTGCTGGGCGGAAGGGGGTCAGACTGGATGGCCTTTGGGGGTCTCTTCTATAATGAAATACTTCCTTTGGTTGGATGGCCATCTGTTAGGAGGGTTCTGCTGGGCGGAAGGGGGTCAGACTGATGGCCTTTGGGGATCCCTTCCATAGTGAAATACATCCTTTGGTTGGCTGGCCATCTGTCAGGAAGGCTCTCCTGGGCAGAAGGGGTATGACTAGATGGCCTCTGGGGGTCCCTTTAGTGAAATTCAGACTGCCTTTGGTTGGATGGCCATCTGTCAGGAGGGGTCTGCTGGGTGGAAGGGGGTCGGAATGGATGGCCTTTGGGGGTCCCTTGTATAGTGAAAAACTTCCTTTGGTTGGCTGGCCATCTGTCAGGAAGGCTCTGCTGGGCGGAAGGGGGTCAGACTGGATGGCCTTTGGGGATCCCTTCCATAGTGAAATACATCCTTTGGTTGGCTGGCCATCTGTCAGGAAGGCTCTCCTGGGCAGAAGGGAGTATGACTAGATGGCCTCTGGGGTTCCCTTTAGTGAAATTCAGACTGCCTTTGGTTGGATGGCCATCTGTCAGGAGGACTCTGATGGGAGGAAGGGGGTCAGACTGGATGCCCCCTGGGTCTCCCCTCCACCCTGCTTACCTGTGGGGCTGCGGGGAGCGCCTCTTCCTCGAGGGCGGGGGTCTCCCATGGCCACTGTGTCTCCGGGGGGCTTCCGGCCTCGCTGCCACTGCTGCAGTTTCTGCTGGGGGGCTCCCACGATCCCCAGGCGCCTCTTGCTCCTTCTGCTCCTGCTTGGCGCTCTCCTCCGCCCGGGGGGTCCCTTCCTGTTCCTGCTTCTCCTTCTTGGCGGAGGAGGGCCCCGAGGTGGGCGATGTAGCGTGTGGCGAGGCGGAGGGTCTGCAGCTTGGTGAGGGGCCGGGCGGGGGGCGCCACCGAGGGAGGGAGGAAGCGGCGGAGCTCGCGAAGAGCCCGGGCCAGGCGGCGCATGCGCAGCTTCTCCCGCTGGCTGGCGCTCCGGCGCGCCCCCGACGCCGCAGGAGGAGAGAAAGAGGAAGAGGAGGAAGAAGAGGAAGAGGAGGAAGGCGAAGAGGAAGAGCAGGCGGGCAGCGGGGGCCAAGGCAGCGGCGTCGGGATCCAACAGCAAGAGGAAGGAGGCGAGGAAGCGGCGGAGGGAAAGGGCTCCGGCGGGGCCACGAAGGCGGTGAAGAAGGCGCTGCTGCTCTCCATGGCCAGAGAAGGAAGGAAGGGAGGAAGGAAGGAAGGAAGGAAGGAAGAAGGAAGGGTGGATGAGTGGAGAGGGGTCCTTCCTCGCCTTTATGCCCGGAGAAAGGTGCCAAACGCGGCACCTCCGGGGAAAGGTGCCAAAAGGAGGAGGAGGAGGAGGAGGAGAGAGAGAGGAGCCCCGAAAAAGAGAGATAAATAAATAGATAAGCGATAGATAGATAAAATAGATAGATATATAGATAAAAAATAGATAGAAAGACAGATAAAAGATCTAGAGATATAGAAAGACCTATATAGAAAGATTGGTTGATTGATTCATTGATACAGAAAGACAGATGTAGGAACAAAGATAGAAATAGAAAGAAAGAGGCGGATGGTTAGATATAGGAAGAAAGAGAAAGATAGAGAAAGATAACTAGACGGATAGCGATAGAGAATGATAAAAAGAAAAACAGATGGGTAGATGCAGAAGGAAAGAGAGAGAGAAAGAGAGAGAAAGAAAAAAATAAAGAGGTATAGAAAGATATAAAAAGATAGAAAGACAGATGGATATAGAAAGAAAGAAAAGAAAAAGAGCAAGAGATATAGAAAGATAGAGATAGATAGAGATACAAAGACAGATGGATAGATATAGATAGAAAGAATGAAAGAAAGAAAATGATAGAGAAAGAGATATAGAAATGATAGATAGAAAGATAGATAGATAGATAGATAAAGATAGAAAGACAGATGGATAGATATAGAAAGAAAGAAAGCAAAAGAGATATATGTAGAAAGAAAGAGATATAAAGATATATAGATATAGATAGAGAGAGAGAGATAGAAAGATAGATAAAGATAGAAAGAAAGAAAAATGTAGAAAAAGAGATATAGAAAGATACATAGAGAAAGATAGAATGACAGATGGATAGATATAGAAAGAAAGAAAAGAAAGAGCAATATAGAGCAAGAGATATACAGATAGACAGATAGATAGATAGATAGATAGATAGAGATAGAAAGACGGATAGATATAAAAAGAAAGAAAGAAAGAAAGAAAAAGATAGAGAAAGAGATATAGAAATAGATAGATAGATAGATAGATAGATAGATAGATAGATAGGGAAAGATAGAAAGACAGATGGATAGATAAAGAAAAGAAAGAGAAAGATAGAGCAAGAGATATAGAAAGATATAATTAGATAGATGGATGGATAGATAGATAGATAGATAGATAGAGATAGAAAGACATGGATAGATATAGAAAGAAAGAATGAAAAAAGAAAGAGAAAATAGAGAAAGATATAGAAATAGATAGATAGATAGATAGATAGATAGATAGATAGATAGATAGATAGATAAAGACAGATAGAAAGACAGATGGATAGATATAGAAAGAAAGATATATAAAGATATATAGAGATAGATAGATAGATAGATACATAGAGAAAGAATGACAGATGGATAGATATAGAAAGAAAGTGAAAGAGATACAGAAAGAGAGAAAGAAAGAAAGAAAGAAAGAAAGAAAGAAGAGATATATAAAGATATATAGCTATAGATAGATATAGAAAGATAGACAGATAAATGTAGAAAGAAAGAAAGAGATATAGAAAGACAGATAGATATAGAAAGAAAGAAAGAAAGAAAGAAAGAAAGAAAGAAAGAAAGAAAGAAAGAAAGAAAGCTTGCCATAGATGCAGGTGAAACGTCAGGAGATAATGCTTCTGGGCCATGCAGCCCAGAACACTCACAACAACCCAGTGATTCCGACCATGAAAGCCTTCAGCTAGACCAGGGGTCCTCAAACTAAGGCCCGGGGGCCGAATGCGGCCCTCCAAGGTCATTTACCCGGCCCTCACTTAGGGTCAACCTAAGTCTGTAACGACTTGAAAGTACACAACAACAACAACAACCCTATCTCATCAGCCAAAAGCAGGCCCACACTTCCCATTGAAATACTAATAAGTTTATATTTGTTAAAATTGTTCTTCATTTTAATTGTTGTATTGTTTTTAAGTGGTTTTTGCACTACAAATAAGGTATGTGCAGGGTGCATAGGAATTCATTCATGTTTTTTTCAAATAATCCGGCCCTCCAACAGGTTCAGGGACTGTGATCTGGCCCTCTGTTTAAAAGGTTTGTGGACCCCTGAGCTAGACCCACCTCTTTTAAGGCATTCCTCAGAGGGATTACAGGCAGTCCCCAAGTTATATGCCAGATTGGTTCTGTAGGTTTGCTTTGAAGCAGAATTTGTATGCAAGTCGGAACAGGGGCATTTTTAAACTTTTAACTCCAGCCACACACACAAACATATAAGCTTTGGATAACATAGGGAAGGGTCAACACCCCGATGGGTTTCCTTTGCTGCCTGTGCCTGTTTGGAAAATTTCACCTCACTTTTCTACACCTTTGAGAACGGGATTTTGGAAAATGTGTCTTCTTGGACTCTGGCCTCTTCCCTTCTTTTGGAGTCTCTTCCTCTGGGTGCTGCTAAGCAGAGGCTGGATGGCCATCTGTTGGGAGGGCTTGGAATATGTCCTTCTGCCTGGCCTGAATTGGATGGCCCTGGGGTCTCTGCCATGTCTATGAATTGAAGTCTTAACTGGACCTCCTCCACAAACATACACAGACGCAGGGACATTGCCCACTATGCACTGTTTCCCAGGCCCCTGCCCTTGCGCCTGGACCCTTAGGGCAGCAGAGGAGGGGGGCGACCCGGGTGTGAAACAGGTGGAGAAGCCCCTGACACCTTTGGTGCCAGAGTTTCCAAGGCAACCGAGGCGGGCAGCTTTGGGAAACAGGGCACCGTGGGCAGAGATTAGAAATGTATTTATTTATTTATTTATTTGCCGTATTTATATACCACCTTTCTCAGTCTAAAGGCAACTCAGGGCGGTTTACATTTTGATGCCCCCAACAACATAAAAACACTTTAAAACAATAGCATATCTATACAAATAAAAATGTAATGCTCATTTGTGGAATTAACATAACTCAAAAACCAGTGGATGAAATGACAAGAAATTTGGACACTACACCCCTACCAGACCAACAAGTGACCATCACTCATAACGCCTCCCCCCCCAAAAAAAAATCAGAGGAAAGGAATTAAAAACCCCAAAAAGCTAAATGACAATACAGAAAAAAGGGAGGGAAGGAATAAAGAAGGAAAGAAAGAAAGAAAGAAAGAAAGAAAGAAAGAAAGAAAGAGGTAGAGAAGAAAGAAAGGAGAGAAGAGGAAAAGAGAAGGGAGAAAGAAGGAGAGAGAGAGAAGGAAGGAGAAAGAGAAAAAAGGAAAGGGAAAGAAAGAAAGAAAGAGGGAAGGAAAGAATGGAGAAGAAAAGCAAAGGAAGGAAGGAAAGAGGTAGAGAAGAAAGAAATGAGAGAAAGAGAAAGAGAGGGAAAAAGAAAGGGAAAAAGAAGGAAGGAGGAAGGAAGAAAAAAGGAAAGGGAGAAAGAAGAAGAGAAAAAGAAAGAATGAAGAAAGAGGAAGGAAGAACGGAAGGATGGAAGAGAAGGAAGGAAGGAAAGAAGAAGGAAAGAAAAAGAGGAAGAAAAAGGGGAAAGGAAGGAGAGAGAAAGGAAGAGAGAAGGAAAGAAAAGGAAGGAAGGAAGAGGAAAGAAGGGAAAGAGGAAGAAAGGAAAGAGGGAGGGAAGGAAAGACAGAAGGAAGGATGGAAGCAAAAAGCAAAGGAAGGAAGGAAAGAGGTAGAGAAGGAAGAAAGGATATAGGTAGAATTACAAAACACCCATCTTTCCATATCAGGCATGGGCAAACTTGGGCCCTCCAGATTTTTTGGACTTCCACAATTCCTAACATATTTGTATATACATATAATATTAATAATATTATAATGGAATGCAATATACTACTACTACTTAATAATATGATATTATAATTATATATTTATATTACAGGTAATATTACTAATAATATTACAATATTATGGTATAATACAATATAGTAATAATTAATACTGATATTGTACTATGCTAATAATATAATATATTGTATTGTCGAAGGCTTTCATGGCCGGAATCACTCAGTTCTTGTGGGTTTTTTTCGGGCTATATGGCCATGTTCTAGAGGCATTTCTCCTGACGTTTCGCCTGCATCTATGGCAAGCTTCCTCAGAGGTCTGCTGGAGCTGGGAAAAAGGGGTTTATATATCTGTGGAATGACCAGGGTGAGACAAAAGGCTTTTGTAAGTTGGGCTAGGTGTGAATCTTTTCAACTGACCACCTTGATTAGCATACAATGGGCTGACAGTGCCTGGAGCAAACTCTTCTTGAAAGGTGATTAGATGTCCCTGATTGTTTTCCCTCTGCTGTTTTAATTTTAGAGTTTTTTTAATACTGGTAGCCAGATTTTGTTCATTTTCATGGTTTCCTCCTTTCTGTTGAAATTGTCCACATGTTTGTGGATTTCAATGGCTTCTCTGTGTAGTCTGACATGGTGGTTGTGAGAGTGGTCCAGAATTTTGTGTTCTCAAATAAAATGCTGTGTCCAGGTTGGTTCATCAGGTGCTCTGCTATGGCTGATTTCTCTGGTTGGAGTAGTCTGCAGTGCCTTTCATGTTCCTAGATTCTTGTTTGGGCGCTGCGTTTGGTGGTCCCTATGTAGACTTGTCCACAGCTGCATGGTATACGGTAGACTCCTGCAGAGGTGAGAGGATCCCTCTTGTCCTTTGCTGAACGTAGCATTTGTTTGTCCAACAAATGGAATCGATCTAGGAGTTGCATGTGACGTTGTAGATAGTCCATGTCTCGCAGGTGTATAGCAGGGTTGGGAGGACAATAGCTTTATAAACAAGCACCTTGGTATCCCTACGGATGTCATGAT